ATTTTTATAGCTCCAGAAAACATTAACTATATTAACAATAAATTTGATATTTCCTGTTGCTACTATTTTGAGCAATTCCATAGAAGTTCTCATCAATTATGAAATGAATTTGCACATTTGTATCTTGTAAAACCATTTTTTCAAGGTTTTTTTTTCTCGAAAGGCTTCAATATATAGGTACATATTGAAAATATCCCATGAATCGATATTAAATTCTTACTTGTTTAAGAAAACTGAAAAAAATAAAATAAATATTTTTGATTTGGTTGTTCGACTGGTTTTATGGAGATTTCGTTTTTATGGCTTTCTCAGTCTAGGGTAATTCAAACAGTTAGTTTTGCATTGCCCTAAAAAAACTAACTGTTTGAATTACCCTAGACTGAGAAAGCCATAAAAACGAAATCTCCATAAATATTTTTATACCTTTAGAATACATATTTAGATTGAGGCTTACTTCGAGTATTAATTCAAAAGTTATGTATTTAAAAATAATTAATTGAAGCTATTCTTAAAGATGTTTGGCTCATAATATTAACCTCTCGCAAAGAAACTAAAGGATAAAATGTAATATTAAAAGTTACAGGTATGTTTTAGTGTCCACTTCCTAAATTAAGAGACTTTATGTGATTAATTTTGAGTTGATAAAAAATCGTATTATAAATTCTTATGTCGTTAGATGTTTGATCGTATGGTGGAATATTGATAATTTTGTATTTATACAAATTATACATTGCTCTGTTAAGGGTGATGCGTATATTATGTCACGCTTTAAGAGGGAGGAGGGTTGCAATGCATTCTTCATCTTAGACTTTGTTGCGTCCCCACTGGGACCTTACGCCGGCTCTCAACTTAGTGATACTTCAGTACTTTCACAGTTATTAAATGAGAGCTTTCGAAGTCTGTACGATTTTTGCATTTGAATTATTGTGTGGCAAGTACGGAATCTTCAACACACGGTGGCAGCGGTCGTTAATAAAGTACCGTACTTTTTAGAGGATTACTGTACGTAAATTTTCCTGAATATATACAGTATACAATCCCCGTGTTTGAATGTAAGCTATGTCAAAGCTTCAATGTTTATTTGTTTACACCAGACAATAGTATTGAAACGCACACCAGAAACGCATTATCATTCAAAACCACCAAATCGTGTATTCGTTCAGTACGCGACATATCACCAACAGTGAATCACTCTGTCTCGAAGCTCCGTTCATAAATATTGTAGCATTATTGTGTAACAGTGCATCGTAATAGTGCTACATACTCGTGAGTTAACCTGATAAAATCGGGAATCAAAACCAGCAGGGCCGGTGAAATATGTTTGCTATTATGCTTTGTCATCAGTTGTTTCAGTTATTTCTTCAGTAATGTCGTTCACAACAACAATCCGTGAGGGTGGCAAAAACTTTCTTGTGTGAGTGTAACTTCTGACGGGCTGCTGTCGCTTTTTGATGCCGTCCGTTGGTCGTAGCGGTGCGATGATTATCTCACAACAGTTGTCAGCTTTCAAAGCTTCGTAGGTCGTGCATTCGTTTGCGTTAGTTAGTGCTAAAAGCCAGGGTGGATTGCGACCAAGGCAAGAGTTCGTCGCCTATGCACACAGTTGTAGCTGCTGGAGTTTCGGTTGATTGGATCATCAATTGATTCAATTTGTTTTTGTTTTTGTTTTTTGTAATATGCACCGACCGTTGAGTTTTTTTTTTATAATTGGAATGATTTCTTATGAATGTTAGAAGCATATTGGATAAGTTGTAAGTTATTTGAAATTTTCTTTCCATTTTTTTTTCTAGCTTTTTTCATAAAAACAACGATCAAAATTAATGTAGAATAAATGATACACTTATATTCGGCAATATTCAATTAGATCAAATCTTGATAATTTCTTCAACTTTACAGTAACTCTAAAGGTTTCACTTAACATCAGATTCTAAATGCTATGACATATGCTAGAGATTCAAGATATATCCAATACTATACAAACTTGTCATCTTCGTTACCTATCGCAAAACTTGGAATTTTTAGTTGTGAGATATATTTTAATCATTCCGAATTTGTTCATTTATCAAAATCGTTAATAATCGAATATAATCACCTTCATAAAAGCTACCCTTTTGATAGAACTATGAAATCTATAGGCCCCTAAACGTACTTTCATCTCTGCCAACCTTTCAAAAGTGGCGTACTAGAACTCTGGAGCAATCCTATTTGCCCTTGTGTATAGTTTCAGATCATACTTTCCAGCCGTAGAAGACCGTTCACAAGTCCTGCTCATTCAGCACAACACCAGGCCAATTCAAATGTACATAGGTAGTTCTGTATCCACCTCGAAAGTCGTTCTTATCACACCGTAGAGCAGTATACCAGATCTTCACAACAAATCTTTATCATTTTCCATTTGGTAAATATTCGAAAGACACCTTCGATCAGGATACTTGTACATACAAACACGTAGCCACGTCGGCTAATGCCTACGCAACCAACCTGTAACGGTGTACTGCAATTTGAGTAACGTAAATGTGCTTGTGTCGTGGCTCTTGAAATTCTATTCTTTGTGCTGAAATGTACTCGGAAAAGTCATGTTGTGATGCACTTCAGTGATGCAATGCTAATATTTTATTTATTTTTTCTGTATTACCATTTCCATTCCATACCACCGGATATGCGCATCGCAGGGCTACCGGACTCAGAACATGCCCGCCAACCAAGTCGGACGTCAGACGAATCCTCAAGGACCAAATCAACCCTACTATAGTAGTACGAATCAACAGCAAAACCCACAACAACAAACGCAACAGCAACAGCATCAACAACAGCAGCAGCAGCAGCAACAGCAACAGCAACAGCAACAACAACAACAACAACAACAACAACAACAGCAACTACAGCAGCAACAACAGATGAATCGGAATCCATTAGGGCAACAGCGGCCCATGAATCCCAACCAGCAGATGCAAGCTCAAACGCAACAGCAGCAGAGGATGGGTGGTCCAGTGCCTGGTCAGCAAATGACGCCTCAAACGATGCCAGCGTTTCCGGCTCACCTGGTAGGAGCGTCTAAAAAGCCGCGATACTTTATGGCACTCTTCGACTACGATCCAGCAACGATGAGTCCCAATCCGGACGCATGTGAAGAGGAACTGCCCTTCAGCGAGGGTGACACAATAAGGGTAACATGCTATAGCTTGCAATAAGCGGATTTTATCATTTAATTTATTGTTTGTAGGTCTACGGCGATAAGGACCCTGACGGTTTCTACTGGGGTGAGTTGCGAGGTCGAAGAGGTTATGTTCCGCACAATATGGTTCAGGAGATTGAAGATGGTGCTCAGGGTGGCGTTGGACCATCGGTACGAGGCATCAGTCGAGATCGATGGGGCGATATCTATGCCAACATGCCGGTAAAGCGGATGATTGCCATGTACGATTATGATCCGCAAGAGCTAAGTCCAAATGTGGACGCCGAGGTGAGACCCTAGTATATTTGGATAGAGAGAGACAGGGTGTAATCTTTTTGGATTTTGAACACAGTCGTACCTCCCGTTTTGGTTCAATGTGATCGATTCCTGCATGCTGCATGTTATTTTATTTATTTTCCATAGTTTCCCAACACTTAGATTCAGTGTGTAGCGAGAGGAAGAAAAACCTCGCAGAAAAAACGGAATGTTTTGCAAAGTAGTGGCATACGTTATTAACTTATGTGGCTCTATCCCGATTTCTTTCAACCCCAACTGCAGGTGGAATTAAGTTTCCAAACCGGCGCCGTCATACTCGTGTATGGCGAAATGGATGAAGACGGTTTCTACATGGGCGAGCTAGATGGCGTACGTGGTCTGGTCCCATCGAACTTCCTCAGAGATACAAACGACCAGTTTAGTAATCAAGGCCCCAATGCCAACAATATGGCCCAGCGTGCACTCAATAGCAACAACAATCGGGCACGAGCGATAGGACCCGGTGCACGTGGACCTCCACCTCCGCCACGGGACAACATGGGCGGCATGGGTGGCTTGACTCAACGGGGCCCACAACGGAAAGGTATGTCCGCCTGATGTTTCTTCTTCTTCTTTTTCTTTCGACTTTTTCTCTCTTCAACCTTCATTTGGGTTCGGTATATCAACTTTTCTTTAACTCGTCTTCATTCATTCGAGAGAAATTCTTTCCAATTTTCATCCAACTCTTCTCATCTGAATTCAGTTGTTTATCCTACTTGTGTTCGTTTATTTTGTTCGACTTTTACCCAAACCAAAAACATAAAATTTACTCCTTCAAAAACTGGTCTGCAGATATTGTTTACTACCATTCAGTTCAATTCATTGACCACCCAATCGGTCGTTGAACACTATTGTGTTGTGAGGAACGCTACCATGCCTGTGTTCTTTTAGTTCATCGGAAAATGCAAACAAAACACTGAACATTTTCAGTCCTTTATCTGGAATACTAGAGAAGCTATATCTGCAGATTTGAGTGCATTGATAAGAATAGACACTTTGGTTTTCCGTTCTGAAACACTTGCGCTCTGCCACCAGTGCAGCCATATTCCAAACAAACTGTTTAAATTGGCTTGAGATTTTACTTTCACAAAATCACTGTATGCAACCTTTTTTCTACGATTGGCTATAGTAACTACAGCTCCCGTTTTCTTTATGTCTTCATTGACTTTTACCTTCTTTTGTTTTGCGTTTATTTCATTTTTCGAACCACACGCTGTTGTTATTGTTTCACCTGACATTTGTTACATACAGAAAACCCATCTAACAACATGGCGCACGCTAATCAAATAATCGCCATTTTCTTTCAAACCGATTGCGAAACAATTAAACTACACTCAAATGTGGAAATGCCAGTAAAAAAATGGTGGTTTCCGATAAAGAAGAGAACAAAAATCTCCAATCAAAGGTTTTCTGCTTGCTTCTCTTCTCTATTGCCTCTCTCTTTTGCAAACGATTTCATTCACTGACACAAACACACATCAACAAGCGGGGTTACACATTCGCGTTTAAAGAAAACCGGGCAAGTTATATGAATAAAAATGTAGGTATAATCATTTAAATTTTAATGATCATGCCAATGCCAATTCATATACCTTAAGCACAAACACAACAATCCGATCTTAATGATGGAACCAGCTTGAGGTTAATGTGATATTTTTTTATGAATTGAATTATTTGTACAGGCTCAATTGAATAAACTTTACAGAGCCAAGTTATTATAAATGTGATATGTACCTTTCATTTTTAGTTTACTCAAATAAAGCTGACGCTGCAACGCTACCCATATGTGGGGCTCTTTCCCAATATGTGAAACTGACACTGTCAATTTCAACCAAATAAAACAATTCCAGAGTAACATTTGAAATGGGCCTATGTCCAAAACGTAAACAAATCGGGTTTTCATACCATTCTATAGTACCGATTGATAGCAACTAATCGTGTAGGAAAGTTCCGCATATTCGATAAAAATCATTAAAAATAACACGATTTTCGAAACGGCCGATCAAATAAATTTTTCGATTCATTAATAGGTCCGCACGCCAAAAAGTAAACCATTCATTTTTTTCATTTTTTCGATAAGCCTACCCAAGTAACATTGCTAGTTTTATCGTGGTTTTAAAGCATTCTACAAGTCTAAATCATGATCTACAGAACCCTCATAAAACCATAATTGTTACTTGGGTAGTGACGTAGAAGGGCCGACGATTGAAAGTTTTCTATGCCAAAGCTAGGCCCTACTGCTTGAGGCAGGGCCGATGATTTGTTTTGAATCTATTTGACGTTGCGAAAAGGCTTAGCATAGGCCGTACCATATCTGATGGCAAGCACAACGGCTTAACAAAAAGGGACTATCAATTAAAAGATTCACAAAGAGGCTTATTAATTTATAAAATTAAATTGTTATCGATTATCATATATTTTTGAAATTTTTTTGCATATTTTGGATGCTGTATACTGAGATACAGGTTCTATTGTTATTGTGAACAATATAAATGCCTAGAATAGTAGCGGAAAATTTTAAATTCTTTTTCTGGTTTGTTTACAGTTTGGACATAGGCCCTTTTCAAATGTTACGCTAGAATTTATTTTTATTTGAGTAAACTGGAATAAACGAAACTTTGAAGTCGATTAGTATCGGTATTTCTGGGATTAAAATAAGTTCGATTTAGGTTAAGGTACTCCGAGGCAAGTGATAGTCTGGAGTAAGTAGGAACGGAGCAATTCCACGCCAAATGACGATTCAATCAGACTCGACCTTCTTGGATTAGCATGAAATTTTGCATAATTGTTTGCTATTAACAATCATTCACATTTGTGCTGCAATTCGCCCATTTTCAATATTGAATTTTGTTTGAAAATGACTTATTTTACATTTTTCAATAAATCGAAAACGTCACTTCTAATCGAAATGACTTCTGAAACTAAGTGATAGGGAAAAATAAGTCTTTCTCAGAAAAAAATTTAGCTAGTTATTTTGTAAAATAAATTGAAATTAGTTTTAAATCTTTAAAAAACATAAACGTTTCTTATTCAATATTTTTGATTTAATTTTAATTTTATGAAAAACGCAAACATTTTAAATATTTCAAACCTTGGACACTTAAAAGTTGACAAAAGGCGAAGAACAACAAATTTTGAAAAAAAAAATTTTTGTAGTATATATTTGTTATTTTTGCACAGAAAATGATGAATGAACATTTTCGTCATTTAAACAATCATTTACCAAGAATAACAACAACTTAACCAAAATCACATGATTTGTCAAATTTGGTTGCCTCAAATTATGAAGTTCTAGTTGTGAATGATTTTTAAATTACACGAATGAAGTGATCGGTAATGTACTATTTATGTTACCATTAGTCACATAAAATCAAATTAGCCGTCAACATTACGATTTGGTGTCAATGACCAAAACATGTCCTGCTTTATTAATTTAAAAAAATCTCAAAATTTTAATAAATTTCAAAGTTTGAATGGCAGTAAATGTAATTTTAAACTGAATGACAAAGTGATTCATAGATCAAAAAGCTACAACGTCAACGATTGCATAATGTCGCATAATGTAGTTTTACATTGGATTAAAAAAAAAAGGTGCAATTATCGTTTCCACTCCATCACACATCTCATTTTTTGGTACGAACTATTTCCCAAAATACGCATTGTTTTGTCAATTTGACAAATAATAAGATACATGTAATATCAGATCGATGAGATATGCCATATACTTGAGTGTTACCAAAATCTAGATCTCAGTGTACTTTTAGACAAATTTAAATTTACAGAGTATGGTGAAAACAAAAATACCGAATCGAACTTTTACACATCCCAGAAATACCAAATGCTCAATAATTTGGTAGAGAATACAACACAAAATACACCAACTATTTCTTGTACATAATCTACTACATGCTTCTACCTATTTGCATGCCTTCTACTCTTATATACACCACCGACACGCACAAGTTGAAGCAGCAAGCAGAACTTTGCTTATGTCCATAAACCAACCATCCGAGGTCAATACAATTTCCCGAAACCGATTGAATCCGTTCTCTGTACTTTCTGCCATAGAAATCATCCTTGTGTTGACATAAAGTGTATCGATTCAATCCGTTTGCTTCCGGTTTTTAATATTTACTCATATAGATTCTTCTCAAACACATTCATTCTCATTACGATTGAAACTGAACATTTCCCACAGCATAAGTAACTACAAAATAGTACTATATACATTGAACTACAGATAAACAAGATGCAGATTATCTCTTTCATGAAATACTTAATCTACAGCTACAATTACTCGCCAACTGCATATATTCTCGATACGTTTGATTTTTGCGTGCAGCGATAACAAAATTCTTATTTTTTTGAATTTTGCACACCTCCTTTAACGTTATGATTTTGTAATTTCTTCTATTTTCGATCCTCTCCGTTGATTGGACTTTCTAGTATGCTTTTCGATTTGTCAGTTTAGAGTTTGAGGGAGATGGCTAACTAACTGCATCATTAGAAGTCAGCAATTCTTTGATTCCATATCAGTTTGATTCGTTCTTTTTTTCATTAATCGAAGTATGATAATGATTAAGCCGAAGAAAAGCTTTAAATGTTCAGTGTGCGCACCATTTGCGAAAGCTCTATATTCTTCTATCCTATATGTACTTCTTATGATTATGTTCAGGTTTTGTTCGAAAAGTTTTCCGTTCATTTATGTAACATTTCATATTTTTTATTTATAAGATCAATTATTATGAGAATATTTAACGATATAACAAAAAAAACAGAACGTTTAGATGGTGCGAAGGCAAGTAAGCCCTAATAACAGGAACAAAAAGTTGATACACACTGGCACCCACATATCCATGGACGTTGTGGGTGTTCTAAAGCTCCCATTGAATTTCTTGCTATTGGCACTCCTTAAATCATCCTAGATCAATTACACAAAGATCAAACTCATTCGTAACATGTGCACTTCCCTTTTGTGGTGTGAAATTGTCCCCTCCAATGATGTGTGTATGTATAATTTGCCACGTGTTTATGTGTGTATGAACTTTTCGTTCGCATTTGTTTATTTCTTCAATACGTGAACGTTATATCCTTTATGGCCACGCGTTTCTCTAATATGAGGTAAACTTGCCTAACACCGTTCTAAACGTCCGAGTTCTGCTCTGCTGTGGTAAATGTCAAGTCTTCATGTTGTTTGTTGCTAGATGCTCGCCCTTCTTCCCCTACACTGTTAGACAACACGGGCCACCCTGCCCCCGATCACCAAACGCAGGTAACTACTTAAAAAAACATCGCAAAACTACATAAATTCTGAATTTCAACCAAAACAAAAAACGCAGTCGCTTGCATGAAAATTTCATAAAAGCGTACCATGATTCACTGTACCGCTGTCCAATCGAATGTTTGAAATTCACGATTTAGAACGATGATTCGTTGAAAGATATTTAATTTTACACACCCACCTGCCCACTGTTTTGAAAAGTAAGAAAAGTTTGTTTTCCAATCTTTATGAGCTACTTTCAATCAATAGATAATTTTTAATGCGTTTCCCCTGATTCGACCGTCAGTTAGTTCCGTTTTTCGTTATTTTATATTCTAGTTGTTTGAGATGATATTTTACATTTGTTAAAACCTTTTTCGTACTCCAGCCTCGTTTGATCAATTACCTGTTAAAGATTGCTTCCCGAATTTCAACTACATTAATACATGAATAATTAGGGTGACTTGAGAATAAATGAGCCAAACAATCGAATCCAACATCCCGCAAAGACTTCTCCTACGAATGGTCAACGTTGAAAAATCGTACCTCGTTAACTAGAGTGCATTTCGGTTTGATTCTACAAATAGTTTTGTTATTTCAACTCTTACCTTGTGTTTCGATTCAGTTGCATACCTAGACATTTCTTACTATTTTAATTCTTTGATATTCGAAAAACTTTTCACTTCAACCTTTCCTTTATTGTTGCTAGAAAATAAGCCCTTCAATGAATTATGTTTCTCATTTTATGTTGCAAAAAGTAGATTTTCCTATAGTACACTTACGGTTTATGTTACTTTTTTCACAACAATTCTCGGTGTCGGATGGAAATATCAGCTCTTCTCTTTTTTCTCCTCTGTTCAATACGTATCGCTGTTGTTCTTCAATGGAAGTGCGTTTATTTCTAAGACTCCACTATTTTTCCCTGGCAAAGCCAGAAAACGCCGCCAAACCGGTCGTGCAGTTGACTTTTTTAAGTGTTTTATTTATTTTTGAAATAATGATTTGATTTTTGAATAGAAAGACGTACTTGTACTCATTTTGGGGACAACTCTCTGTTCAAACCTCCCGTTTACCTCCCGCATTGTATCCAACATTTAATTGGGGTTTTTTAATGTGGTGAATTTCATCAGTTCTGCTTCTCATGACATACATTCACTATTACGACGATTGTTGTGGGTTAGACGTCATTCCAGATGTTTTGGTTAATTACAAAATTAAAAAAAAAAATATGTCTGAAAATGTTTTCTTCCAAGTATTCCAATATAACAACAATAACTGAGAATACAATATAAAAAAAACGGATTACTGAATGTTCACGGCTCGCTTTTGAACAGTTCAAATACTTCTTTGAATTCAACGTTCCAGCATGAACTTGGCACCTTTCCTCAACGAAGCATGAGAACATTAATTCACTCTCGCGAGCGCTACAGAAACAAAAGAGCTTTGCTAGGTATAGCTAACAAACTACTGAACGAGTGTAGATACTTCCAAGCAAGTGACTCCGCACGTATAAATAATAAGAACTGACAGCAGTAGAACAAAAGAATTACGAAAAATGTTCACTATTGACTTTATAGAGGGCATACCCAATGAGTCATTGTATCACCGAGAGAAATGAGTATACTCTAGCAAAAATATGTTTGATTTCAAACTAAAGATGTAGTTGATTCAAAATCAATATTGGTTCGAAATTGATTGGAATCCACGATTTCGTTTGAAACTAATTCCTTTTTTAGTTGAATGCAACCTTTAAAATCATATATTGATTCAAATCGTATTTCGAAATATAAAACCGAATCAACTCAAATTTAGGTTTTTAGAAGCGAAACATGCTAAAGAAGCTCAAATTTAATCTTTAGGTTAAATCAACATGACTTTTAGGTAAAAACAAACTAAATTATTGTTTTGTTCTAGATTTATATATTTAGTCAACAAACGTAGACTATTTACTGTAAATCAATTGTTTATGATACATTGGTTCCATAATGCTAACGCGATTAAGCCTTCCAATAAACGAATTGGAATTTTTTTTGGGTGAATAACATCCTTCAATGTAATGAACCATTTAGTCGATGGTTTTTTTGCACACAGATGGCATTTTCCATTGATAGGAAGTGATTAAAAGTGATAGAAATTTAAAAAAAAGTTGACTCTCAAAAGAAATCATTCATGGACTTTGTCTTTATTTTAGACACTGTCATTAAATCCCCGGATAGGTATTTATGGAAGAAAATCATGAACAATTCAATAAAAATATGATGTACCAGCCCAGATTACAAAGCTGTTTGATGAGAGCGAACCTATACATTTTTTTTTCGTGCACAATCAGATATCCCAAACAACCAGAAGTAGTATACCAATACACAGGAAGAATCGTTAATTACCACGGATTGAGGTCATATTATAAATGAGCATTAAAGTCATCACATCATGTTAAAATCTAAAGGCAATATATCTAATGGCAGAATTCATGGCTGCCACCTCTATCCAACATCTCTTCGTCAAGCATATGTACCACTGTTCCAGCGAGTTATTACAAATTATTAAAAATTCATGGAACTAATGGTTGGTTTAAATTGCTACTAATTTTAACTTTAAATTATAACCATTCTGGACCTCTAGGATGCCATAATTTCAAGAAGCGTTCAACCAGAGAGTGTTGAAAAGTAGCACTTGTTGGCACAGAGTTTCAAAAAATTACTTTAATCACACATTAAGTGCACTGTGCTGCATTCTTAAGGAAAGGAAACAAATATTGATCAAGAAAACTGAAATGATCTTTGTTTTTAAAGTAACGTTCTAAAGACACTGACCTATGGACATTTATCATATGTGATTTTATGCAACTAAAAAAAATAGTTGAACGTGTTGATTATACTCGCCTTAAAATCGGTACTATTCACCAAAATATATATATATTTCCCGGAAATAATTTGACCCAATTTGAAATAACGCCACAACCACGGAAAACTTATTCAAATAGTCAACCGTCAATACTTACTTTCACACAATATTCACTGATGCATGAAAACCATCTGTTCGTTTGTTTCTGCTAGTTAGTTTTTGGGTTTATATTTTTTTTACATCTTCCAGCTAGGATTGGTTTCTTCAATAAATGTCGTAATTCACTCAGAGTTTTGTTCTACATTCAAGACTTCAGTGTAATTAGTAAGCTGTACATGATGACTTTTTAGAACATCTTTGATGAACAAAATTGACAAGTTTCCTGTAACTAACCGCAAATAAAAAATACAGTTTTATATAACAGCCATAAGCAATGAAGCAGTTGTAAAGTAGAATAAGAATGGTATTCTTGCGTGACAGTAAATTGAAGTCATAATTTACACACCACCAATTTACGCACAACCAGAAATACTTTTAGTCAACTATAAATTAATTACTGTCGAGAAATACCATTCTGATGCTTCCTAATACCTGGAGAACCAAAATGCGACCGTATTAATTTTTTTTTATTGATATATACCGATCGATAAATCATATAAAATTCACAAAAAAGGGTTCATACGCCCAAACGTGAAAATCATCAAAAAGGTTGAACACGGAAAAATCTGAACACGAACGGTGGGGTTTAAAAATGCGTTTTATTTTTCATAGTTCAATGTAACAGCTATACGTAAGTAGGTAGTATGCTTATTGTGAGACCATTGGTTCAGTTTTACTTCTTACTCAAACTTTTCTTCGTACACGGCCCATCATCTTTTACACGATAACTGTTTGAATGCCAAATTCCATTTCCGCTTGAAATCCTCCAGGTCAAATGTAGTTTCACCTTTTTTCTTCAGTATGTGCTTCACAGTTGACCAGTATTTCTCAATTGGCCTTAGTTCTGGAGTATTGATCGGATTCATCCTCTTGAGAACCACTGTGACGCCATTTTCGCTGTACCACTGCTCTGGTTGGTGTAATTTGCGTAGTGGCAACTTGCGAAGTCCGGCCAGAATAGGCAATCCACCTCATGCTGCTCCAAAAAGTCAGTAGTCTCTTTCGTAGGCACTCTTACTGGTAAATTTTCTGGTTCATGGTCCCAGAAGTAACGAAAGTTTCGCTTTTCAGCCCACAACTGCAGATTGCTTGCCAGACAAGGAATTCCGGTCAACCGAGGTATAAAATTCCTACATAGAAATTTGATCGAAAGCACGATTTTCATTTCAAGCGTACAAGATCGAATCGCGACGTGCGTGCTCCGGTGAAGCCATGACGTAAACAAATGAACTCATCCTGACCACCAATGCCTACTGAGAGATTTTTTCATGTTCAACCTTTACAAGCAAATTTAAATTTACACTGTTAACGATTTAATTTGAAAATAGAACTTTATTTGCAATAACTAAACTAGCTATCCGATTTAATTTGCTCTTTTGGATACAAAACTATGAATCATAAAAAATTGTTTTTTGTACGATTCAAAATAAATTAACAAAATTTGTAATAATTTTCTATATGCATTTTTTTTTAGACTACGCATGACAAGCACAACCCGTCAATATTCAAATGCATCATATTTCTTATATCAAGCGTCCTTGAACTGCAGGGACAAACCTCCCTGTACAATGCACAATCAAATCTACAGTTCTGGCTGGTTTAACTATATCATCATGTATAATCAACCATATTAAAGCCAACATAATTTATATTATGAACAAATAAACCAGTGATGCATTGCTTATACAGAACAAAATACTATTATAGAGCTGATATAATGCAAAAAGCTTAATTGCGGATCACACACATTGCATCCGTTGCGACAAATCTGATAGTTAGACAATATATTTAACTGTCATTTTTCCACAACGTATCACTAACGGATGTAATGTGCGTGGGCCTTAATAATCCTACTTAGTATGGCAGCCTGTATGCTAGCACTGATAATGCCAACCGTTATGAGAAGCGTAAATTATTTTCACTCTCATTCAAGGACGACAGTATTATTTTTTATCGATTACGGTGAAGTGAGCTAATTCATAGTAAACAATGACAGTAAATAAGCGTGC